AAATTATATACTGACTGATTTTTTTTACGTTTTTTTGGGGGGGGTTAAGTTATTTTTTAAAACTACTATTTTTAAACATTCCTTTTTTTTGTTTGTTTGTGTTTTGTTTTTTGTTTTTCGAGACAGGGTTTCTCTGTGTAGCTTTGTGCCTTTCCTGGAACTCACTTGGTAGCCCAGGCTGGCTTCGAACTCACAGTATCCACCTGCCTCTGCCTCCCGAGTGCTGGGATTAAAGGCGTGCGCCACCACCGCCCAGCTTATTTTTAAACATTTCTTAAGGTTATTAAAATCCTTTTTTATTTATTCTATGACAATTTCATACATGTATCTAAGATATTTTGATAATATCTGCCACTCGTCACCACCTTCTATTCCCTTCCCTTGGAAACTCATCTTCTCAAAAATTTCTGTCTTACTTTCAGGTCCTTTGAAAAATTACTCCTGAAGTTTAGGTAGAGAGGCTCGCATGGTTCTTGCTGGGAAATTATTTACCAGAGCACGGTAGCACACCAGCAGCAACACTGCTCCAGTCAGAGGACTTAGCTTCCTCCAGCAGCCGCCAATCGCCAGGAGCTCCTCAGCCACATGTGAGATTTTTTTCAAGACTTTGGATGATATAAATTCATGGAATTTGTTTCCAACCGTTTTATAACTGCATAAATGCACATATCACATTCTCCACAATTTCATCACTATTACATATTGTCATTTTAATATTTTGACTACTTTAAGAGATATAAAATGAGTTCTTATTGGAGGAATATGCATGTTTAAGATTCTTCATAAGGGGTTTTATCTTCTCTTTGTAAATTTCTTCTTTTTATCCTTTTCCCTATATGAGATCATCAGAGCATTGCATGTATTTAAATGAACTTTTTATAGGTTGTGATTATTAATTCTATCCTACCTTGAAGCTAGTTCTATTTTTCTAGATCTAACTCTACCTTACCATGTACACGTACAAGAGCACAGGTATGGCCAGCCTCTTGTATTTCATCATTTTTGCCTTCAAAATTATTCAAGAACTGGGGAGATGTCTCAGAATGTAAGCACACTTGTTGCTCTTTTAGAGGATCTGGGTTCAATTCCAAACACCCACATAATAGCTCACAACCACCTGTAACTACTGTCATGGGAGATCTGAGACTCTCCTCTGGCTTCCACAGGCACTAAGCACGCACATGGTGCAGACATACATACAGGCAGAACACTCATAGGCACACACAAGAAAATTATTATTTAAATAAATAATTCAATAGTTCATATCATTTGAAGATACGGAGAAAATGATCATTATCTAGTATACAATTCTTACTCAAGCAATTGCATTCTGCTAGTACACAATTCTTAAGCAATTACATTCTGTTAATTGGGCCTCGCTACTACTGTAACAATCCTGAAGGATTCTACAGGACTGAGGAGCTTATTTAGAGGCAGGTAAGGATGATATGCTCCATATGGGGACAAAGACCTTTCTGTGAAATTCCTTATCCCTTAAGAATTATTGGGAAAAACCTATTTATATGTACTATATTCATACTCACAGTTGTCCTAGGGAAGAAAGTTGGAAACTCTTACTAGTCTCTGGGGAAAACCTTACACCAGTACTTCTGTGGGAAGTAATAGGAAGACCAGGAGTGGTTAACCTATAGAAAATAAGTCAGACAGGCCAGGCAGTAGTGGCGTGTGCCTTGAATCCCAGCACTTGGAGGCAGAGCCAGGTGGATCTCTTTGAGTTCGAGGCCAGCCTGGCGTGCAGAGCAAGATCCAGACAGGCACCAAAACTATACAGAGAAACCCTGTCTCGAAAAACCAAAAGAGAAAAAAAAAGTAAAAGAAAATAAATGAGACATTTCCCTTTCTGACACCCCTAGTCTAAAGATGCACAGAACCCAGGCTGACTTCTCAAGAGTTAGATCCTCTTTGAGCAGCATGAGGAAAGGGGGATTCAGATTACGTGAGAGTCTGTGAGACCTCAGAGCAGGGGCTTTTTGTGCCTGTGGCTGAAGGATAAGGGCTCTCAGAGCCCTTCTTGTGAAAATCAAGGAAATTTGTCTGGGATCGGAGCTGCACACCCTAGTTGTCTCCCAGAAACTTCATTGTTGGGACAGGAGGCTAACAAACATTTCCCAGTAGCTTTCTACTGTGCCAAGAATGTTGGACCTGCAGGCAGCAAGGGAGGAACATAGATGACTGGTGTAGTCAATGTGTGTTAAAGCGTGTACTTTGTAGGTGAAGACAAATTGTTTTGGAGAGTATAAAGGCCTTCTAGGCACTTACAACATCCATGAACACCTACAACAACAGCCTGTATTGTTTCATTCAGAAACACCTTAGTCCATCCTCTTTTTAGTTTCTTAGTTTACAAAGGATCGGTTTCATTATACCTTTCTGCCAAACATCTTCCTACATTCTGTTTATGAAAGCTTTGTCAAAATGAAGAAATGATGAATCTGGGAAAAAATCCAGAAGCTTATTAAAGGTTGAAGTATTTCCAACTCTCAACCACTACTAAATTGCTCACACTTCTCTGAACAGAGAAGTGAGCTCTTTCCTTATTCTCACAGGTCATCTGTTAAAGGGATCATTGTTTCACAGTATGTTGTCAGAATCCAAGACATTTGTGCTTCTTGCTTATGCCACTTGTGGTAAGTAAGAGAAAGCTAAGGTTCTTTGTTAAGAAAGACAGCTGACCACCGAGTGCCTTAAATGCTAAAGCTAAGATTCTATTGCTTTCTGGGTGTGGAACTCCATAACTTGAATTTGAGCACTCTGAAAGCAGAAACAAGATTGAGAATTCCAGGATAGGCTGGGGTAAGGAGCCAAACAAAATGTTTTCTTGCTCAAGATTATCTCTTTAGACATTCTGTACTTCCTGAAATCAGAGACTGGCTTTTTGCCAGTTATCTTATTAAAAGGTAAAAGAGTCCCCAGATGAGGCAATACATAAAGTGTCAACTATGCACATTTCAGTAATAACTTCTTATTTCATAACATTTATGAGAACTATTTATAAAAAAATAGTTTTGAAAGGAGAGGTGAATAGAAATTCTCTCAGTAACAAGATGTCTCTACGTTGAGGGCCACATGAAGGCAGTGACTTTCTCAACCCTCTAAGTTGTGAACATATCAAGAATATCCATGTATTTGTTAATCTTCTTTTAAATTATCAATTTTTTTATTTATTTTGTGTATATGTGTGTGTACAGGTGCCCATGGAGGCCAGGGATATCAGATCCCTGGGAACTGGGGTTATAGACATTTGAGAGTGGCTGGATGTGGGTGCTAGGACCCAAACTCAAGACCTCTGCAAAAGCAGTATGTGCTCTTTACCCATAGCTGTATCTCCAGCCCTGTTAACCTTATGAAAACTATAACTTCTGATTTAATTCCATCATGAGTAAAAGTTCTACCTTATAGAAACATTCTACGTTTGAATTTATTTTTAAAAAGAGTGCAAAGGAGCCCCACTCAGATTTGTGACCTACTAATTAAACGATCTCCCCTTAGTCCTAGAGCAGGCACAGAGAGTTGCCTGCACAGTATCTTCCTTCACTTTTGCTTTGTCAATAGGACTCTGGCTTTTTGGAGAGGCAGCAATCTGTCCAGCTAAAAATACTTGTTTTCCCAGACTCCCTTGCATCCTAATCAGGTGGCACAGTCCTGCTCTATGAGATGCAAGCAGACATCTGCTAGGATTGATGGGAAAGCTGTTGCTTTCCAGATATAGTCACCATCCATCCCTGCCTCCCTCTTCACTCCTTCATCTTTTCTTTATGTCTGCTGAAGTATTAGCATAAGACATGGCGGGCAAGCATCTTTCTTGGAATCATAAGATGCCAAGATTGAGGGCAAAAGCCTACTAACTGTGTGCGGAAGAACAGAAACATGGAAAGCATTTAGGCTCTTGGTGGCATGACTGAACTGTACACTTACCCTGTACTACCTACTCCCAATCTTCATATTGTTGGAGAGAAAGCCCTGCCTGTGGCAGCTTTGTGTTATTTGCAGATCCTCTTTCCGGGCCCTATGGAAACATCAAATCAGAAAAGACCTTATAATGCCTTTTAGTAATACTTGTTTGGAGTTTTAGCCCATGTATTTCTATGCAGACACATACAAAGGAATAACCCCTGCTGTGGTGAAATGCAAATGCACCAATTGTTCGGAACAGTGCTTTCACTGGCATGTCAGAAAAATGTTTATCAGGCCTACATTTTAGACACCAAAAACACAAAATCTATCCATTATTAGGTTATATCTAGTTTCTTTAAAAAAAAGCTGTTTCCTAAAGGAGAATATGTATGTTTATTGATTACAATGCTGTTGAATGAATACTGTGTTTTAGCTGGTGAACCTGATACAACCTCAAATTCAAAGCATCTCTTCTATATAAATTCAAGAATATGGTTTCTCCTTGATGAAATGCCTTAAACAACATGTCCAGAACGCTCCCAGTGGGGCAATGCAGTCAACATGCAGACAATAAAATCGATGCTGCTAGAGGACAAGGAAAGACAGCACACCTAACCCCTCCCTTCTCTGCCCACCTCCACATTAGGACTTATACATCCCTTTCTTTTATAGCTGTTCCTTGCTTGCACTTCTTATAATAATCTGGCAGTGGTAATATTTTTTAAAATAGAGTTTCTAAAGTAGAAATTATAAGTCTGTGGAAGCAGCCTCAGAGGTAGAGTGCTTTGCTAGTCTGCACAGGGCCCAGAGTTCAATCAATAGTGCTGCAAAGGTAAAAATAAAATAAGTGAAAGATATCACTAAAGGTGTACTGATATTGAAACTTGGAGTTCCAAAAATGAGTATTGTAAATATCCTATTTAAACATATATATATCAAAGTCTTTGGAAACCTAGGGTCTTACTGCTTTTCCTCTGTATTGATTTAATCCTGCTATTTGTCTGAATAATTAGTGGAGATTAATAGGACAGACTTTTCAAATGCACCAGATAAAGTGTATTCATACCCATGTTGGTGTGTGGAGAATGCAACAAGCTTGCAAGAGTTTAACTACTGAGTCCAGTCTTGCTCAGGAAGCCAAAGGAGTGGTAGAGGAGGTAGAAAACAAGGAAGAAGAAATGAGAGGAGGACACACTGGTGATGGTAGTTCTGGCCCCATGGACAAGGGGATCCACGAGGAAGGCGGTCCTGGCAGCAGTGTTCAACAGCAGCCTCAGCAAGAGGTGGTGATGCCTGAGGGCACCAAGAGTCCCCAGGCTGGGGACAGGCTGCCTTTCCAGCACAACACCAGATTCACCCAGTCTCAGCTGCAGGACCTGGAGAGTCTTTTCCAAGAGACTCGCTACCCCAGCTTGCGAGCAAGGAAGGATCTTGCAAGATGGATGGGTGTGCCGGAAGCCAATGTGCTGGATTGGTTTAGGACCAGGAGAGCCATTTTCAGGAGAAGCAGTAGACTGTTGGTGCTGTTCAATGCGCCTCCTGGTCCCCAGAACAACAATTCCTGAAGATTTGTGAGCAGCACTTGAGTGCCACCTCTGTCCAGGAGCCAGATGTCCTGGAGCCTGTCCCTGCCCCCAGTGTCTCGGCCACCCATACTGGCCATGACATCCTTTTCTTCCTTGTAATTATTTCAGCAATAAAGAGGTGGATTGTCAGAAAAAAAAGAGTTTAACTAAATAGTTCCCCACCTTCAAGACAGCTTGAATTATCCTCCAAAAGGTCAATGCTTCCAAGAGCTCATCACAGGTAAACAGTTTTCAGACCTGTTTTTGAGAACAACATACTTTGTGTATTTGCTTTTACACCTGTGGGCACACTATTCTTAGGTTGGTCCTGAATAGTCAGTCCCTTGACTCCATAGTAGATGGCCTCTTACACAGAGAGCTGACTTTGAAAAAAGCACAGTGTTCAATAAACCCTATGTAAATTATAAGGAACCAGAGTGGAACCAAGGCACACAGTAAGTCATTCATGAGTAAACCTTAGTATGCACACAGCTGGATGCACTGTATTTTCGATGAGCTCAGCTCCCTGCTGTGACTTAGAGCTAATAGGATACACATTACTTATTTGTCCTTACATTGACAACATGCTTATAATAAATTGTATTGCTATAGAAACATGCTAAGGAGCCACTGAATTGATGTTCCTGTTTGGTGGCACCAGCTTCTTCCATCCAAACACAAACGTCAATGGTGCTTCAGAATAAAAGATGAATATGTGGACACACATGTGCAGACCTGTGGGATATTTTTTATTAGAAAATTAATGTTGTACTCAAAATGGCATTTATGTAGACATAATTTTTGTGCCAGTTTAACCTTAGCATTGTCCACACACTACACAATAATATATATTATGTTTTCACTTTCTTCAAAAGAGTATATACTATCTATAAAGGAAGTTCCTTTAGAGACAAAACAAGTATAAATTGTCTAAAACTTGAGGTCTGGAAAGCTAACTTTCTATGAGATAATGATGATGAGAATGTACAAAGTTGAGAACAAAGTTAAGGCCCAGAGAAACATACACAGAGTAAATATTGACTCTAATGTATTTTGCTAATAAAGTACAACCAACTGTAGATGCAATTTTTTTTATTATATTGTTCTCGTTGACACCAACACTTAGCATCTTAATCTGGGCCCAATGTTCTACTCATATAAAACAAACCCAATTTTTTGACTATAGAAATCATGTGGTCTAGAAGCCTAGAAGGAAAAGTACACCCTGCATGATTTGACAAGAAAGATATATTCAAAATCTGTGCCTGCCCTATATTTTTTAACTAGCTTGAGGCCCTAGGTATTATTTGAATCACAATGTTCTAACTTCAAAACAAGTATAAAACATCTACTACTACTATTATTAGTGATGGAATTGAAACAGAATACTACATCCTTTAGAGGATTTTTGAGAAGTCTAAAGGTAGGTGTCTTAGGAAAGTACATGTTTCCATTTTCCATCCTTCACATAGAGATTCACTTCTACTAGGTAGCTTTAAAATTTACTAGTATCTTTAAATTTGTAGGTATAGGAAGGTGGATAATGAATACAGGAATAATTTTCAAAGGAAAAATATAAAAGGAAGAGATAATGAAACCATGCAGTTAAAACAATTCAGTTTCCTAATAGCTTCATTCTGTTTACAAACCTAGTCACATAAAAGAACATTACTGCTGAAAATGTTGGACAAGTTTGTAATCCCAATACAAAACCTAGAAAGAGAAGAAATATAAGTCTGAGGCTGACCTGGACTATATAGCAAAATCTTATTGAAAATATTAAAAAAATTTCCTTTTGACAATGTTTAGTCAAATTGTACATGTCTACATTTGTTTTTCCCCACTCTTAACACTAGTAAATGTACACATGCATATGTATACTTTCACAATAAGCCTCAATGTGATAAATAGTACATGCATCCATGATACTATGACATAAGTACTAATGACTTTGATGTGGTTATGAATAACACGTAAAAACAGGAAAGCTAAAACATTCTTCTTTCTTCCCTAGTGTTGTGCTTTGAATGTGAATGTTCCCTTAGGAAGTAACACTATTGGGAGATGTGGCCTTGTTGGAATAGGTGTGACCTTGATGAAGGAAGTGTGTCACTGGGGATGGGTTTGGGAGGTTGAAAACCACTGCTCCAGAGGATATACAGTTGTGTAATATCACTGGTGTTAAGCCTACTCGCATTACTTCAAGCACCCCAGATATTGGTTGAATTGTTTTGTATGTTACCTTATATATGGACCAATGTTCAGACTAAGGAAGCATGTACTTTCAATTGGGCTGATATAGTTAGTGTAAGTAAATAAAACTTCATAATAGACATTTTAGTTTGGGTCATAGATTAAAGTGATGAGCACTGAGTAGGTATTTCAGTTTTCTTTGTTTACCATTTACCTTCTTCACTCTGCATCAAATTATTTACGTAACAACTCTGAGATAATTTATGATAATACCCAAAATTGACATATACAAATAAATATTCTTCAAATTATATAGCGATAGCATAATACATAAATATATCTGATAAATAAAAGAACAAATAGCAACAAACTTTTCCCATTGAAAAAATATAGATTAATTATAAATTAATATAATATAAATTATAAAGTCACAAAATGTCTCCACTTATAAAAAACTGTGTATTAATTGACAATAGGAATATCTCCAAATGTTAGTCAAAAAACATTATCAAAGCCAGGATTTTATTGTGACATTAAAATCTACCTTGTAGACTTCAAATTTTTATAGCTTATTTATCTTAGTCTTTCTAATATATCTGCTAAATATTTCTTTTCTTAAGAAATCCCCTCAAATTTGAATATGTTTTTCCACCCAGGAGTTTGGAACTGAAATAGTAACTCAGAAACAAAGCCCTTGGTGTTTCCTCTCCTTCCTCTCACTTCTCCTAGATGGGTCTGGCAGTACCTGCCTCTAGTTGGTGGAAGCCAAAAGATTCTGTTAAATGCTGCAAACTCCACTCCTCTAGAAGGAGGGGCTTCTAGCGCCATTTCCTAACTTGTAAAGATTGCACACAGAATGCCACAAGAGTTGGGGTGGGAACTGACTCTTGTTCCTTTATTCATTTCCACGTTTTACCCCCTCAGAGTAAAGAGAGTTTTGTTATGTTTTCTCTCCTTTGATGCTAAGCAAGGCTAGCTGGACTTTAAAAAACTTGGCACTTTTTGTTAAGTTAATAGCCCTTTCTAGAAAGTTCAGTCTCTGTCGTTGATGGTAATGTCAATGCTGATGGTAAAACTTGAAGCATTTTAATGGTGGATTTTGTAGGTCAGTGATTTTTTTCCGACCCTCAAGTTTCACAGACCTGAGAAATAACTTAAGATAAAAGACTGGAAATTTTTCATTGTTTTCAACTTTATATATTCCTTTTCATTATTCCCCACATAAGGTAATCTGAATAAATAATTACTATGTTTTATTACCTTTGTGCCATGAAAATGTAACTTGACACCAAGGTAGAAGAAAATCACTAAAGAAAATTTAGCACTCTACTAAATCACATAAATTTGGATTAATAAAATACTACTGGTTTTTATGTATTTGCAAGCTAATATGAACATCATCTCTGACTGCCACCAGCTGATATTAGTCATGTTATAAGTATATCTACAATGATTAGTGTAATTCCATTCAGTTATTAATGGTCTATTACTATTTTCTTGTATTCAATATTGTATTTGTATATTTCAGCCTAGAAAGTTATTTGATTACAGAAGTCACTGACATTTTATGTTTCAGAAATAGAAAAGGTAGAATTTCAGTGGACTCCATTAATTGCTTATATGTTGACTTTATTCTGAGGATGAGAATACTAAGGTCCATGAGACCTGGTTACTAAGAACCACACAGGTAGGGCCCTGCATCTGCCTGTACCCAATGAGCAAACTGCTGAGTTTATATTTAACACTTTTGTGTGTAATAATTATCAAAAGCATTTATATACTAGTCTAATATACATTATGATCTTCTTTTGTGGGAGTCCCTTAATACAATTTGGGAAAACAATTTTCAGTGTAACTAGTCCAAGCAGCTCACATAGCTGTAGAATAATGGGAATAACAATTTAACGAGATGCTCTCCAAATTGATGGTTATTTTACATTTCCACACAGTCAGCTTCAAGATATTACTGAGTGACTACCATGGGTTCAACACCCTGATAAACACTGCAGTGAAAACAGTAATAGCATAAGCCATAGTATCTTCTGCATTATGAATTGTGAATACATTGTAGTTATTAAAGACATAAAGAGAAATATTCATTGGTGGGATTTGCCTACTTTTTATTCTATACCTTCATTTGACAATTATCCTATATATAGTACCTTCTACTACATGCACACTCCCAGTCTAAAGAAATTAGTCACTTAATGTTTTCTACTAAATGTATTCAGCCTTTTTTAGAAAATTAATCTTCCTTCATTTAAAACACATTCTTCCAGCTGCAAGATTTCTTTTTCTTCTTTTCTTTGTGTTGGGTGATTGATTTTGATTTTTTTTTTTTTTTGAGACAAGGTTTTACTATGCAGGCCTGGATGGCCTTGAAATCTCTTATGTAGACCAGGTTGGCCTCAAACTCCCAGAAATCCACCTGCAGTGACCTAATTTCAACTACATGTTACTTGTCAGACAAGTTGAGCTGAACAAATAATTAGCACTAAAATATGGTGACTTAATTCAGTAGTAGGTTAATAGTGACATTTGCTTAAAACTTAAAATATTTGGAGATAGAACACTTGAACCCATTCACTCAACTTTGACTATTTTGTTTATTTTGAGAGGTCACATTGTGTAATATTGGCTGGTCTGGAGGAAGTGTGTATCTAGACCAGACTGGCCTCAAACTCATAGAAATCCAATTGTCTCTGCCTCTCAAGTGCTGGAATTAAAGACATGCCCCACCATGCCCAGCTTCCATTCACTCAATTTTTAAAAAGAACCTGAGTAGCCATTCATTTTCAACTTTTTTT